TTACCAAGGGACCTCACATTGGTGACTCAGCCTCTTTGAGCCTCAGTTTCCTTATCTCTGAAATAGGATAGGGATCACACATAAGATTTTTGAATGAGAAGCGCTCAAAAACACTAAAAATAAAGAAAATTCATTTAGCAAAGGGTTTATAAGGATTGACTGTAACACTTTGCACCATGGAATATGGGCATCATTTCTGTAGATGCAGAAAATGTGGCCCCTGGCCTCCAGATCATAAGGAACTTTTCCCTTATTAGGAAAGAGATCTGTCTGTGGAGAACACAGCAAGGTGAATGTACCACATTAGCTAAACACAGTAGGAATCACGGATTAGCCAAACTTTACTCCCAGTTTTTCATATTAAGGAGACAGTAATTTTTAAATGACTTAATTTCTCTAAAATACTGTGTTATGTGTGGAAATATTAATTTTTACATATTTAAGTAGACAATATTTAGTCATCAAGAGAAAATTATGTTCCATGTCTGTCTGGCTGCTTTAAAAACAATGCAAATTAGTGTGGCGAACACAGGCTATATTAAAAATACCACTTTATTTTTGTCTCCCACTCTTCCTTTAAAATGTATTCAGTGGCGGGGTGCCTGGGTGGCTCAGTCACTTAAGCGTCCGACTTCAGCTCAGGTCATGATCTCACAGTCCCTGAGTTCAAGACCTGCGTCAGGCTCTGTGCTGACCGCTCAGAGCCTGGAGCCTGCTTTGGATCCTGTGTGTCCCTCTCTCTCTGCCCCTCCCCTGCTCATGCTCTGTCTCTCTCTGTCTCAAAAATAAATAAAAACATTAAAAAAAATTTTTAATGTATTCAGTGGGAGTATTTTCCCCCTGCCCCTGGATCTTAGCTTAGGCAGGTCCCGTGACTAGGGGGCTTACTTTTAGATCACTGTAGTTCTGTTAGGTGTTGATCACAGTAGTATGTTGTTGTGCCTCTGTTGACTTAAGTTCGTCCTAGACCTAAGTTCCAGCAAATACTATAGTAAAGAATTCACAGTTATGAAACTCAGTGCCTTATAGGAAAACAAAATAGACAGTGGGGACCATGATTTGATATATTCTGTCCCTAGAATCCTCCATTCCTAAACTCTAGCTAGTGATGATCAAATCTGAAGGATTAATCAGCACAAAACAGCACAAACTTCTGCAAGAGCTGAAAGGTCACTGTAGTTGGATAACTATAGTTAGGATAGTTTGCAAAGCTTCTCAGAAGATTATGATGCTATACAGATGATTCCAGATGTGGTGGCAAATGGAATCATTGCAAGATCTGCTGGTGTGGGTGTTCCCAACCTGGCTGTCAAACCACATAAGTGTATCACCAACATCCTTAAAAAAGAGAAGATTCCCCTGGGAAGGAAGAGTAGCAGCATGGGAGGTGGTATATTCCATTTCTTACAGGATTGATATTAGGAACTTCTTTTTTTTTAATGTTTATTTTTTTGAGAGAGAGGGAGAGAGAGAGAGAGAGCGTGTGTGTGTGTGTGTGTGTGTGTGTGTGTGTGTGTGTGTCTGTGTGTGTGTGTGTGACAGAGAGAGGGAGAGAGAGAGAGAGGACAAGTTGGGGAGGGGCAGAAAGAGAGGGAGACAGAGGATCCCAAGGGGGCTCAACACTGACAGCAGAGAGCCGGATATGGGGCTCAAACTCACGAACCATGAGATGATAACCTGAGCCAAAGACAGATGCTCAACCAACTGAGCCACCCAAGTACCTCTGGACATACATATATTTTTTAATGTGTTGTAGGAAAAAGCTAAAGCAAAAGTTGGTTGTTGTTAAGAAAATCACTATAACTGTAGAATGTCTAGATAATGATTTACTGTTGTTACTATCATACCTAAAAATTATCATATATATGTATGTACGTGTGTGTATATATATATACATATATATATACACACATATATATATATATACACACACATATATATAGTGTGTGTGTGTGTGTGTGTGTGTGCGTGTGTGTGTGTGTGTGTGTATCTTTTTATAGTCCTAATATGTTGGCTAAGAAGCCAAGGATCAACATTCTGTTTTAAACTTAAATAGTGGAGACCCTGTCACCACTGTCTATTAAAACTGGAAAGCCTGGGCTTGCCGTCTTTATGGGAGAGGCCCAACACAGCTTTTCTGGATAAAGCAAGAATACTTCTGTACAGAGCAGGTCCAATTAAGTAAGAATGTTTGTGTGATAAAAATTTACTTAGCCTTTACAAAGTCCTTTATGCATATTTTACAGTCAATAAAAGAGTTCACCACATAAAAATGTTTTTGGTGGCATTCTACACAAGTTAAACTAATTATAATGAGTAATAAACCATTCCTTGTCAAATACTGTAGCTAGAAACTATCTCCCCCTCCTTCTCTAACTTAAATAAATTCATTTTACTCTGTAACAGAATAGATCCGAAGAGTGGCTTTTTTCCCTTTCTGTTCCTTCCTTCAAATGTTCAGTGTCTCTGTTAGGAATTTACCCAAGGGATACAGAAGTGCTGATGCATAGGGGCACTTGTACCCCAATGTTTATAGCAGCACTCTCAACAATAGCCAAATTATGGAAAGAGCCTAAATGTCCATCAACTGATGAATGGATAAAGAAATTGTGGTTTATATACACAATGGAGTACTACGTGGCAATGACAAAGAATGAAATATTGCCCTTTGTAGCAACGTGGATGGAACTGGAGAGTGTGATGCTAAGTGAAATAAGCCATACAGAGAAAGACAGATACCATATGTGTTCACTTTTATGTGGATCCTGAGAAACTTAACAGGAACCCATGGGGGAGGGGAAGAAAAAAAAAAAAGAGGTTAGAGTAGGAGAGAGCCAAAGCATAAGAGACTCTTAAAAACTGAGAACAAACTGAGGGTTGATGGGGGGTGGGAGGGAGGGGAGGGTGGGTGATGGGTATTGAGGAGGGCACCTTTTGGGATGAGCACTGGGTGTTGTATGGAAACCAATTTGACAATAAACTTCATATATTGAAAAAAAAATGTTCAGTGCCTCTCTGGCTTCATCACCCAGAGCTGTTGACTCTGGTCTCTTCGGCTTCAGCTCGGCCCCACCAGGTGCAGGCCTCAAAGCTCACGATGGTAAAGTTCAGAGGAACCTTTATGTCAGATGTTTGATAGAATCCAACACATTTCAGTTTCCCAAACGTCGCCCCCACTGCAGCCAGGACATGGTGTTGCATAGTCTCAGCTCTGCCTGTGAGAACTGCTTGCCAGTGTGTGAGTCTCCCTGGCCTTCCCAACACGCTAGCAGTTGTGAGTGTGAGTCTGCATTCCCAAATGCTGTCATGTTACTTTCATGCTCTGTACAAAGCTTTCTTACAAAAACTTAGCTCCTGATCTGCCTGTTTCTTTTTTCTAGTCCTCACTCACAGTATCTACTTTTCTAACTGCTTCCAAAAGACTGTCGTGTACCGCGCTGATTTTTTGCCGTCACCTAAATGGCAGATAAAAGTAAATCCGCTGTACCTGAAAATGGCATCGGAAAACTTAGGGCTGAGAAAAGGATTTAGTATGTGAAAGCTAAAAGCAAATTAACGAATGCACACAATGAAACAGAAACTCTCGTTTCATGGATTAGCTTCTTAATATAGGATTTGCCACTTAAAAATGATCATTGATGATTGCTAAATCTGTTCAGTAAATTTTGATATCATATTGTGATATAAGTAGGTTTTGCCCTCCTCTTCTGTTTTTTAACCTAAAACCTAAATGAAAGTGGAAAACTTTTTGTCTTGCAGTTTCTCCTGTGTTGTCACATGGGCAAAGACCATGTATCTCCTTCTGTCATGTTAACAGTACCCACAGCTGCCTGACCCTTTTACTGCGTTGTAATGCCTTTGAAATCAGGGCTGGATTTTATTTATTTTTGAATTTCCCCCCGGCTCTTAACTTGTCACATAAATTATTAGCGGGAAAAATCTTTCTCATCATTGCTTCCCCCCAACCCCCCAGAAGATGATAATAAGGTCATTGTCATCACATACCCTCCAAAAAGAAATAAAGCTTCATTTGTGCCAATTAGTCATTCATTTCAGTAGCTTTCTGGGCAAAAATAAGAGAGGTTGAATCAGGACAGTCTCTCTAGATTCCTTTATAGCTAAAACTCACACAAGATCTTTTTGTTTGAATGTTTTAATTTGCTGTTGCCATTTAAATAACTCTCAGATCATGACTCCAGATGCAGTTATCGTGGGCAGGTATTCAAGACTCGCCAAACTTCACTCTTCTTTAAACTGAAGCCGGTCAAAAGAGAGAAGACACAGAGAAGGTGGACACACACACACACACACACACACACACACACACACACGGGGCTGCCTCTGTGGCTGCCCTCTGCAGGCTCAGCTGGTGTTTTATGGCCTGTGTGGGTCTTGCTGAGGACAGTGAACTGATGACCGTACCTCATGGTAAGTCACGGACACCCAGATGCAGCTGGTGCTATATTGTCAAAGAAAACAATAAAAGTGAGCTCACACATCTAGTAACATAAACAACTGTCACAGAGGTGCATGGCAATTAAGCATAAATGTTTACATTTTACATAAATTGCTTTAATTATTATTATTATATTTTTACAAAAAGATAGGCTTTTAATTTCTTGCTTCAGCGTATTTGTAATCAGTCCAGAATGTTCCCTGTAAAGCCTATCATTCCTTTCTGTCATCATCATTACCAAATCTAACTGCATTTACTCACAGAGTATTTGGGATTCCTTTGCCTTCTATGGCATTCCCCTATGTCCCCAAGCCAAAGTCCTGCTTATGTGCTTGGACCCACACCCTGCTTCCTCCATCCTCCCCTACGGTGCTCTGGCCCTCAGAACCAAGGGAAGAGGCATGAGTTAGAGGGCTGTGGATCCCAAAGGAGGGCGGGTAAGAATCAATGCAATGTTGTAAAAGGGACGGGAGGCCAAAGTTGAGGAACAGTCATATATGAATAAGAGGGTTCATTGAAATTAAAAGTTGGTTCCCCTTGGGGCGCCTGGGTGGCTCAGTTGGTTGAGCGTCCGACTTAGGCTCAGGTCATGATCTCGTAGCTCGTGGGTTCGAGCCCCACGTTGGGCTCTGTGCTGACGGCTCAGAGCCTGGATCCTGCTTCAGATTCTGTGTCTCCCTCTCTCTCTACCCCTAACCCATTCTGTCTCTGTCTGTCTCAAAAATAAATAAACATTAAAAAAAGTTTTTAAAGTTGGTTCCCCTTAATCTTGAGTTGTGATCAGGTGTGTTGAAGGAGAGGTATTAAGAAGAAAGGAGAGGAGAACAGGTCTGTCACAAGCAACATATTAATCCTCTGGCTCACCACTTCTACCTGCTGACCCAAAGCTAACTTCTTTTCTTTTCTTTTTTTAATGTTTAATTATTTGAGAGAGACAGAGCGTGCACTTGCACATGCGCACGTACACACACACACACACACACACACACACACACACGAATGGGAGAGGGGCAGAGAGGAGGAGAGGGACAATCCCAAGCAGGCTCCTTGCTGTCAGAACAGAGCCTGGTGGGGCTTGATCTCATCAACTGTGAGATCATGACCTGAGCCAAAACCAAGAGTCAGTTGCTTAACTGAATGTGCCACCCAGGCGCCCCCCACAGTTAACTTTTCTGTGGCCCACATTCATGCCACACAGGGAATCAGGGCCATCTCTAACACCCTACCTAGTCGGGAGTATGCCTAGTATGAATATTCTACAATGATGGGGATCTTAGGGGGTTAATAATAATAATATACCAATTTTGTTTGGAGCTGTACAATTTATGAAGAACATTCTCATTTAATCCTAATAACCCTGTGTATTAAGCATTATTCATCATCCCCATTTTTAAAAAATGTTTGTTTATTTTGAGAGAGAGAGAGCGTGCACACAGGTCGGGGAGGAGCAGAGAGAGAGAGAGAGAATCCCAAGCAGTCTCTGAGCTGTCAACACAGAGCTGCATGTGGGGCTCGATCCTACGAACCATGAGATCACAATCTGAGCCAAAAGCAAGAGTCTGACGCTCAATTGACTGAGCCACCAGGTGCCCCATCAACATCCCCAGTTTTAGATAAATACTTTTTAAAAATTTTCAGTTTTACTGAGGTATAATCGACATATAAAGTTTTATTCAAACTGCCCATCATGGTAATTTGATATGTGTGTACATGGTGCAAGGATTCCTTCATTAGTGAATTAACACCTCCCTCCCTTCATATATATGTCCTTTACCCCCCTGGTGAGAACATTGAAGTTCCACCCTCCCAGCACATTTTATTAAAAAAAATTTTTTTTTTATCGCTTTTGTTTTTGAGAGACAGAGCATGAGTGGGGGAGAGGCAGAGAGAGAGGGAAACAGAATCTAAAGCAGGCTCCAGGCTCTGAGCTGTCAGCACAGAGCCCAGTGTGGAGCTTGAACCAGGAACTGCAAGATCATGACCTGAGCTGAAGTCGGATGCTCAACCGACTGAGCCACCCAGGTGCTCCCAGCACATTTTAATTATACTCAATTTTAAATGAGTAAATTTGGGCTCAGGAAGGTGATGTCCCACAGCTACCTGGTGGTCAAGGCAGAAGCCGGACTCGGGTCAAGAAAGCCAAGAGCCCTGGGAGATGGGGAAGTGAACTCTGGGTAGAAAGGGAAGGAAAATGGGGAGGAAGACTGTGAAGGTGAAGGAGCAGAGAAGGAAGCCCTAGAGGGACAAACTTGTGTCCCTCCCATTTTGTGGTGCTGGCTTCGTTTATCTCTGCGTGCAGTCAGTCAGGACCTGTACGCACAGTGGTTCAGCAGTCGGGCCTTTTGGGGGTGTACTCCTTCATCTCAGCAAGAATTAATAGCTGCAGTTTTGAAAACCTGTAAAAAGAATCCATCCTAGTTTTGGAAATTGTCTCCTACAGTTTTCATTCTAATCATATTATCAGACTCTGTTTATAATGAATTTGAAGGGACTGTAAAAATCCTTCCGCTGTGCTGACATCTGGCATTGAAATGTTGCTTCTATGAGAAATATTAAGAGGCTTTCTTTCCTTGGAATAGCTGGGTTCTATTGTTTTATCTCTGTGTCACCTATAAAATTATCTCTGTGTCACCTATAAAATATTTTACCGTAGATCATTAAGTTTTGAGCTGCTTCCCTGCTAATCCTGTTCCTTTCTCATTTTAAAATAAGAAGAAAAAAAGTTCATTTAGTTTTTAAGTGGCATTAAAAAATCTATTTTTGGGTGGCACAATATTCTTGGGCCATTCTTAGCAGTTAGGGAACAGTTGTTTTTCTTACGGTAGTTTTCTCTTCCTACTCTTGCCTTGTGACTTCCATGTTCAGATCATTTTTCTATAAGTAGAGTTGGGTTTATATGTTACTTACAATGTAGTAAGCAAGCAGGTCTCTAAATTACCAAGTCAGTGGTTCTTGGAACTTTTTGGTCTTAGGATCTCTTTTACTCTTAAAAATTATCAGAAAACCCAGAAAATTCTTATGTGGGTTTATGTGAGGTATATCTACCAATATTTACCAAAATAGAAATTAAAACCAAGAAACTTGTGAAATATTTATTTATGATGCATTAAAAATAACAGCAATAATGTTAAGTGACATAACATTTTTTAATAAAAAAGAACTACTTTAAACAAAAAAGAATTTATGAGAAGAATGGCATTGTTTTACGTTTTTGCAAATACCTTCAATATCTGGCTTAATAGAAGACAGCTTAGTTCTTGTATCTAGTGCTGCATTCGGTCTGTTGCAATATTACACTTCATGCAGCCTCTGGAAAATTCCACTGAAAAACAAAGACAAATAACATCTCAGTTTTATTACAAACATAATTTTGACCTTGTAGAGTGCCTGAGAAGGTCTTAGGGACCATAATGGGTCCCCAAGCCACACTTGGATAATCACTACACTAAATCATCATGATAAGGTTTAAGGAACCAAAGAGATCATTGCTAACAATCATGGTCATACTTAAACCACTCCAAAATGTTGGTTATCTGAAGGTGTACTTGTAGATTGTCGTTTCTTGACAATGTTATATATGTGTGATTTTTGGGGGGAGAGGGTAGTAAATTCATTCGTTTACCTATCATTAGAAGAGCTCAACATTTGGAAAGAAACAATATAATCTTGTGGTTAAAAAAATAGCTTTACGAGGTGCAGAATATTGTGTGCTTAGTGCTACCATTTGTGTTAGAGATAAAAAGAGTGAGCAAGAGTTGCTTTTTGACCTTTCTAGAAGAATATATAAAGAACTAAAAATAGTGGTTCTCTCTGAAGTGAGGATTGGGGAAAAGGACAGCTACCAACACTTAACATGGCTCATGAGTTGTTTTTTACAGGCGTATGTATTGGTTTCTCAAAATATGTAGTTAATGACAAAAATAAAAAAAAACCACAAAATCTTTAGATTCAGAAAGATTTAGGTTAGAGCCTTCGTCTCCTACTTATTACCTACATAACCTTAGCCTAATTACTTGACCTGCTTAATACCTATTTTTTTAACCTGTAAATTGCAGTTATCGATAGTTCCTACCTCGTAAGATTAGTGTGAGTGCTAAATGAGAAAATCTCTTGTTCCCGTAGAAGCATAGGTTTTACTTATTATTATTGCTAATCATAATTATCATCACTTTATAAATCAAAGGCTTATTTTGAAAGTCAATCTTTCCTTAATTTTCCTTTTACCTGATTCTGAAACTTCATTAGATGAAAATGGTAATGCAATTACAATCATGATCTCCTCATTGAGGGGTCCTTGAAAAGTCTAGATTATTCTAGGAGTTTTGACTGCATCTTGTCTTTCTGCTTAAAATCGTTTGTACTAGACTTCCACAATCACACTTCTATGCATCACACCTGTCTTTGGCAACCTTAACTTGGGCCTGGCACATGATAGGTCCATGGTTCGTTGACCGCTACAATCCCTAATTCTAGACCAGCCAGTCTGAATTGGCCTCTTGTCCATTTTATTTTGGAATGTGCCTCATTCTGCCCTGTCATTCCTGTATTGGATTTGGAATCATCTATTTTTAGTAACCTTTTAATTTCTTGATTATTCTGCTCAGCTAGGATAAATTTGTAAGTTCCAATTCCTCTGGTTTTGACTCTATGTGTGTTTCTGTACTGAATGCATTACTCATTTCCTACTTAACTTAATATCCATATGATTATTTCCTGCATGCTTTTCGTCCTGTCATTGGGGTTTGATCCTTGATGGTCACTTCACAAGTGTCTGCCTGAGCTGCAACTGCTGATTCTTGGTGTCTAATGAATCTAAAGTCTCCTATGTCTATAATGTATAGGTTTATATAAGAAGCAAATTACTTAGCTTGGTGAACAATGGCGAACATAGAAATATTCTCTGATGCCTATGAAATACATAGTGTACTCTATCAGAGATGACTCTAATTGAGAGAGCATCCTATAAAGGGTGCTGTTTATTAGATTTTGCCAGAATCTTTAAAAATTTTTCTTTAATGTTTATTTATTTTTTGGGGGGGGCATGAGTGGGGGAGGGGCAGAGAGAGAGACACAGAAGACACAGAATCCGAAGCAGGCTCCAGGCTCCCAGCTGTCAGCACAGAGCCCAATACGGGGCTTGAACCCACGAACTGTGAGATCATGACCTGAGCCGAAGTTGGATACTTAACTGACTGAGTCACCCAGGTGCCCCAGATTTTGCCAGAGTCTTGACAGCAATTCCCATGAATTCACCAAGACCAGATATCCGTATAAAATAATAGCTATGACATTATTAGGAAGACAGAAGGATTTATTGGGTATGAAATGAGAAATACGTGCATTTTTCTATAACCTTATCATAAATAAAGTGTGATGGATTTACAGTGGATTCAGATAGTCATCTTCAGGTCCTTTTTAATCAGGAATTGGTGATAAACTTGAGCATAGCTAAGAAAATAGCCTCTATTTTAGACTAGGTCAGTTTCTCAGCATGGACACTCTTGACAGTTCGAGTGTGTGATTCTGTTGTTGGGGCTGTCCTGTGCACTGATGGATGTTTAGCAGCATGCCTGTCCCAGCCTGCTAGGTGCCAGCAGCACCTGCTTTGTCATGGCAGTCACAAATGTCT